GCCACGAAGGCCTCCAAGATGATTCAACGTGGCCTCGAAACACACCCAAGAGCCCCTAATAGACGCCCAAAAAATCCCAGGAGGCTTCCAAGAGGCTCAGAAACACCCCCAAGACGCTTTGCTGGAGACCCTCGGGCGACGAATACATGGTTTATCGCATGTTTTTGATGTATTCTGATTTCCGTTCGGTAGAACATCGGTTCACTTGCAATATTCGAGGGCCCATCCAAAGCCCACTGAGAGCACCAAAGTATTGCGTCTGAATGTGGTTGGGTGGCGGCCATTTTTCTCCCCAACCCCCAACCCACAATCCCCCAACCTCAAAACCCCCAACCTCCCGACCCCTCCAACCTAACCCCCAAATCCCCCAACCCCCCAACCCTCCACCCCCCCCGAACTAGCCAACCCCCCAACCCCCAAAGCCCGCAACTTCCCAACTCCCCAACCCCTCCAACCTTCCAACCCCCACAGACCTCCTAACCCCCCAATCCCCCAACACATGAATCCCACGACCCCCAAACCCCTTGACCCCCCAACCCCTCCAACCCCCAAACCCCCCAACCCCCCAACCCGCCAACCGGCCAACCCCAACCCTCCAACCTCCCAGCCCCTCCACCACTCCAACCCCCAAGCCCCCCCAACACCCCCAACCCCCACCCCCCCCCCCAAAAACCCTCCCCAACCCCCCCCCCCCCCCCCCCAACCCCCCGCCCAACTCCCCAACCTCCAACCCCCCAACCTCCAACCCCCCAACCCTCCCAAACCCCCAAACTTCCCAAGCCCCCAATCCCCCAACCCCACAACGTCCCAACGTCCCAACCCCCAAACTCCCCAACCACCCAAGCCCCCAACCCACGACTCCCACAACCCCCAAACCCCGTAACCCTCCAACTCCTCCAACACCCCAACCCCCCAACCCCCCAATCCGCCAACCGGCCAATCCCCCAACCCACTACCCCCCAACCCCCCGACCCCTCAACCTACCAACCCACCAAGCCACCAACCCCCCAACCCTCCAACCTCCCAAGCTCCCAACCTCCAACCCCCCAACCCCTCAAGCCCCCCAAACCTCCCAACCCTGTAACACCCCAACCCCGCAGCTCCCCAACCCCCCAATCCCCCACCCCCCCAAATCCCCAACCCCTCAAACCTCCAACCTCGCAACCCTCCAACCTCCCAACCTAGGAATCCCGGACGGTTGGGGGGGTGGGGGCTTTTACCCTCTTTAGCGGTTTCTGATATTCGGTTCTTTGGGAATGGGGGGGGTTGTGGGGTTTTGCCTCCCTTGGGGGGTTTCTGAGATTCCAGGGTTGGGGGGTTGGGGGGGGGGTTCACCCCCTGGATGGGTTTCTGATGTCCCGGGGTTGGGGGGGTAGGGTGGGGATTCGGATAATTTCGCCCTCTGGAAGGGTTTCTGATGTCCCGTGGTTGGGGGGTGGGGAGTTTCATTCCCTGGAAAGGGTTCTGATGTCCCTGGGTTGGGGGGTTGGGGGGTTTCGCCTCCCTTGATGGGTTTCTGAAGTTCCGGGGTTTGAAGTTTGGGGGTGGTTTCAATTCCCTGGAATGGTTTCTTCTGTCCCTGGATTGGGGGGGTTGGGGGTTTCACCTCCTCGAGGGGTTTCTGATGTCACAGGGTAAGAGGGTTGTGGGGTTTCACCCTCCTTGAAGGGGTTCTGAGGTACGGGGTTGGGGGGTTGGGGGCTTGGAAGGTTTCACCGTCCCGAGAGGTTTCTGATGTCCCGGGGTTGGGGTGTTGGGGGGCTTCACCCCTTGGATGGGGTTTCTGAGGTTCCAGGGCTTGGGGTTTGGGGTGTTGGGCCTTGTGCGGGTTTGGGGGTTTGGGAGTTGGGAGGTTGCGGGTTTTGGGGGGTTGGGGGTTGGAGGTTGGGGGGTTTGGGAGGTTGGAGGGTTGGAGGGTTGCGGGGTCAGGGGGTTGTGGGGTTGGGGCTTTTGTGGTTTGGGGGGTTGAGGGGTTGGGAGGTTGAGGGGTTGGGGGGTTGGGGGGTTGGGAGGTTGGGAGGTTGGGAGGTTGGGGGGTTCGGGAATTGGGTGTGTGTGTGGGGCTGGGTGGTTGGGGGGCTGGAGGGTTGGGGGGGGTGGCGAGGTCGGGGGGTTGGGGGATTGGGGAGTTGGGGGGTTGGGGGGTTGGGGGATTGGAGGGTTGGGGGGTTGGGGGGTTGGGGGGTTGGGACGTTGTGGGGTTGGGGGATTGGAGGGGTTGGGGGTTGGGGATTGGGGGGTTGGGGCCTCCTTAACGGTTTCTGATGTCTTGGAATTGGGGGGTTGGGGGGTTTCGCTTCGCTTGAAGGGTTTCTGAGGCTCTGGGGTTGGGGAGTTTCGCGCCCTTGAAGGGTTTCTTGATGTCCCAGAGTTGGGGGGTTGGGGGGTTTCGCTTCTCTTGAGGGGGTTTCTGAGGTTCTGGGGTTTCACCCACTGGAGGGGTTTCTGATGTTACGGCGTTGAGCGGTTAGGGCGTTTCACCCTCCTTGAATTTCTGCAGTCACCGGTTGGGTGCTTGGGGGGTTACGCCCCGTGAAAGGTTTCCGAGGTCATGGGGTTGGGGATTTCGCCTCCCTTGAAAGGTTTCTGAGGTCTGGGGTTGGCGGGGTGGGGGGCTTCGGGGGTTTCGCCCCTGGATGAGTCTCTGATATCCGGGGGTTGTGGGGTCGGCTGTTTCGCCTCCCTTGAAGGGCTTCTGCGGTTCCGGGGTGGGGGGGTTTCACCCCCTGGAGGGGTTTTTTATGTCGTGGGTTGGGGAAAAAGAGGCCGCCCCCAACCAACCACCTTCCGAGGCGCAGCTCCAAAGGTGGTCCCTGGTCGGCCCAGGACGGCCCCAACGGAGCCCCACGCTGGCCAAAGCGGGCCTTCAGAGGGACATGACGTGGCCAAAGAGGGCCTCCAGACGGCCCAGCAAGGCTCAAAGACGGCCCCACGAGGGCCCCAAGATACACCCAGACAGCCAATAGAGCCCCACGACGGCTCAGTATGGCCCCGCGACGCCCCAAGAGTGTCCCAAGGAACCCCCTTCATACTGCCCCACAGGTGTCTAAGAAAACCCGCAGACGGCCAAACTATTTCCCGTGAGAGCCCCCCAATAACGGCCACATGTGATGGCCTTCTGGGCGGTGCTCGAAAGGCCGCCACCCAGAGCTCTCTGTGTCTCTCTCTCTCTCTCTCTTTCCGTCGCTACCCTGTTTACTCTGTCTGCCGTCCCAAATCGACCTGCCCTCCATCTTCTAATACATACACTTTATACTCTTGGCTGACCTGATATCCCTTCTCTCTGACCCTGGTGGCACGGGCACAACAAACTCGACAACCATTACTGTGACGAATGCCTGAGACCAATAACTAAGAACCCAAGAACCTGGCCAACCATCGAAATCAGCCTGGAAACCAGAACCGCGAACCTTGGAACCTGGCCACCCACCTACATCGGGCCCGCAACTCTCGCCTAATTAATCTTTCAGTCTCCGCTGGGACCCCTTCAGTGCAAGCGCTGATTGGGGAACTACTTGTTGTTTTCACTTTTTATTGTTGCTTGTGGTTTCTCATTTTTTTTTTTGTTTTTGTTTTTCTGTTTCTCTCTCTCTATCTCTTTTTATATATCCCTAGTTTTTTTGTTTTGTTTTGTTCTCTCTCTCACACACTTCCCCTGCCTCTTTCTCTCTCACTTACTCTCTTTCGCTCTCTTTTCTTGTCTCTCTATGTCCTTCACTCTCTCTCTCTCTCTTCCTCTCTGTCTCTCTCTGGCTCTCTCTCGTGTATCCCCATCTCTACTCAGCATCTCTCTCGATGTTTGTTTGCCATATAGCTGTTTTTATGCGTTCACTGCCCTTCTACCCTCTGAACTCGCTCTGCTCTCGAATAGTTAACACGTGCGTATGCCTGTCTGTCTGTCTGTCTGTATGCATGGATGTATGTATGTATGTATGTATGTATGTATGTATGTATGTATGTATATGTATGTATGTATGTATGTATGTATGTATGTATGTATGTATGTATGTATATATGTATGTATGTATGTATGTATGTATGTACATTTACACATGTACATGCGTATATATACACATATACACGTACTCCCATCTCTACTCAGAATCCCTCTCTTTCTCTCTCTCTCTCTCTGCTTAACCAGGCTCTATACTACTATACTCATCACTTTCTACTGTGTACTATCTCATGCTGACGATGGTCGCAAGGACCCAAGATTTTGACTCCGAAGACTTAAGAACCTTACAATGCCGTGAACTCCGGACCCAAAATTGGGAACCCTGGAACCCAGCCGTCCACCGAAATCGGCCCGGAACCTGGAACTGGGCACAGGGAAATCTCGCCGCCTACCAGCATCGGCCCCCACTTTCAGTGCAAGCGCTGAAGCGGGAAATTGCCGCCGATACCGCTGTTACTGCTAAAGCCACTACTGAAAGATAAATCAATGTAGATTCCGATGCGAATTTTGTACCATCCGCACAAAATTTTACCGCGTACGTCGCACAACTCATACTGCACCACACTGGGGGTACAACCAAAAACTGTTCCAGAGTCGCTCAAGCCATCATGCGTCATATCGACCAAACCTCTTTGGGCAACAATCCGTCCGATTCTTCAATCGAATTAGGTGTGCCGATGCATCCCCTACCAGCATGTAACTTTGGTCTGCGACGGCAGCTCCTGTTCCCCAGGGCCCCTTTTCGAGTCGCGCCAGACTAGGCGGACACACACACACACACAAACAAGAAGGAGGAAGAGTAGGAGGGGAAGGAAGGAGGAAGAAGAGGGGAGAGAGGATGAACAAACGGGCGGCCACTGGCGCGGCATCGAAGGTGCAACTTATATTGAATTTCATGGTATTCGGATGTGCGTGTCGCTTCAATGCTATATTCGCACACGTTACAAACGGATGGCCAATACGACAGGAACCGCGAGAGATCAACAGAGGATCGCACAAAGCTTGACATATGTAGGAGTTCAGTCTGCGTTGGCACCAGCCACGCTGTGATAAGTTTTTAAAGCACGAACCACATGATGCCAACTTTCATGCAAGTTGCAAAACCTTTCGCGCTCATTCGCTCATTATGGAACGATGACTCGAACAGTTCCTCACCACCTCGTAACCTAGGTCCTCTGAAAGGAAATACAGCCAAAATGGCATGTGGGAACGGCCTTGGCTCAGTAAGGCTTGTAATGCCCCTCAGCCCATCGCGAGCGCCTCCTCCTTCCTCTCCGCGACCTGCACCAATGCTTCAGCCAGAAGCTCCTCCATGCAAGACGGCGTATGCAAAAGGGCTGCTCTTGAATACCAGGCGTAATTAACGTGCACTTTATTCCCTATGCACGCTTGCTTGACCCAGTACTTGTATGTAGTTGCCTGCTTGCGTGTGTGCGTTCGCCTGATTGCTTGTTTGCTCGCTGACTTACATGCGTGCACTTTCTTTGCATGCATGCTTGCGCTGAACTTGTTTTCGCTCGACTGATCTCACTGGTGCACTTCCACGCGTCCGCTTCTTCTGAACAGAGCGTCTGGAAGGAGTGCCAATGGCGCGTTAAGACCGCATGACATCTCCATATTGCAAGTCTGTGTGATGAGCTCAGTCGTTTGCCTTCTCGTGGACGGTTTCGCAGAAGAACACATGCATGGATATGGTGACCGAGACAATGTGCAAACGTAGAACTTCCCCTTCTCTTCCTCTGCGTTAGCTCTCCCCCTTGCGTTGTTTCACCCAACGTTCCCAGCATCAGTCAGACGTGGAGGCGCAATCGAGCAAAGTGGCGGTGGAACGCCACGAGTCTATGGCCTCGGGCATGTCTAGGCGCGCTGGGATCTATTGCCAAAACCCAGCGTAGTGGAAATGTCTTAATTCTGCCCTTGTCGGCTGTCTCTTCCAGGCTATGGGGCACACGATCGCATGACGTAGCACTTTTACCATCACTTCCTCTGGGGATGTGCTTACGGCTGAGCACACAAACGCGCACGCAGTGTTCAATGACATGTGCCTGTCACCCTCAGCTGTCGCTTTGCGGTACTCCTCTTCCGCCGAGCCATGATGGCAACGACGCGACACTTCGGTGCGGCTGTAAAAGCTTCGGGCTGTTTTGGGCGTGAGCTGCAAATGCTGGCTGCACTGAGAGGACGGTGCCGTCCGTGCCGTGCTAGGCTTGTAGCCATGCGTCAGACGTTTCCTCGCTGTTCCCGCGCGCCTCACATGCCTGACGTTCCGCGTCCTGCGATGCGGTCGCGTTTTGGCCCACCAGAGCATCCTCGTGCGGAGCGCGAGGCCTGCGACACGAGAGCTCGGCCGCAATCCCGTGCTCGCGGCCCTGATGCTCGCGCTGGCGCCAGGGAGCCAGGCCGCGCGAGTCGTGCCTCCTGCTTCCTGCTTCCCTCCTCTCCCTTCCATCGTTCCTCGTCATTCCTCCCTCCCTGCCTTCTGCCCCTCCCCTCCTGCCTGCACCTTCTCTTAGGTCGGGCGTGCCCCGTGCCCCCCTACAGGCGGAGTTTGGACGAACGATACAACGTACCCCAAAAATGTCAAGCATATTCAAAAATGGTCAAAAGATCGTCCCCAGACTATTTTTTGACTATTTCTGAATTTTCCCTCTGTAGAGGGACATGCCCGACTTAAACCTTCTCCCAAGTGGGGGGCGTCCAAGAGGGGGGTGCGCAAATCATGGCCGGCGGCGGCATGTGCGCGGGCCAGGGGAGGGGGCCAGGGACGTACTGAAACAAGAAGAAGCGCCATGAAACCTGGGGAAATATCATGGCCCCACGCCATGATATCCAAGCCCCCCAGTCATCACCCCCCTCTTGGCCGCCCCTGACTTCTGCCCCTCCCCTCCTGCCTGCACCTTCTCCCGTCCCTCCTGCCTCGAGCCTTCTGCCTGGACGTGTCCTTCCCCCTTCGCCGGGAATCCTGCTCCGAGATCTGGAGGCGCAGGCCCAGGGAGTTCCTCTCCGAGATGCCCCCGCTGGGCCAGCCCTCGGCCAGCCTCGCCTTGGCGTCCTGGAGTTTCAGCGCAGTGGAGGAGGAGGAGGAGGAGGAGGAGGAGGAGGAGGAGGAGGAGGAGGCGGAGGAGGAGGAGGAGGAGGAGGAGGAGGAGGAGGAGGCGGAGGCGGAGGAGGAGGAGGCGGAGGCGGAGGAGGAGGAGGGGGGGGGGGAGGAGGAGGAGGAGGAGGAGGAAAGCCGTTTGCGGGCAACTCGAATCCCCCGCACGCCAAGGGGGGGACGGCCTCAGCCTGCCGGCCGCGCCGCGGCCCGGCGGGCGTCAACAGCCACGACGGCGTGTGCCCCCGCTGGGCCCGCCCTCGGCCAACCTCGCCCTGGCGCCTTGGAGTTTCCGCGCGGCGGGGGCCCCCGGCGAGGAGGGGACACGGCAGGTCATCGAGCTGCGGAGGAGCACGCCCCCGCACTGCCGACGGACCGGATCCCGCACCGCTCCTCTCGACTGGTGGTGATCCGCCCCGCGTCGATCTTCTAATCCGGGAGGGTGGCGGCGCGATTCGCAGATCGCTCGACTGATCCAGACCCTGCGCCCTGGCGGCCAGGCCGATCGGCGATAAAACGGGGGCAGGGGGCCCTGTCAATTTTCTTGTCGCGGGTGCCCCTTTTCGGAACGAGCGGTCCAGGATATTGTCCATCAGCCGACTCAAAATTGACTCCGTCCAGCAATTCTGCTCGCGTCGCGAGTGTATCTCTTTGCCTTCCGAACGCGAGCAATCGCCCGTGAGTGCGCTTCGCGCGCGCATCCACGTGGACGCGCGCCGAGGCGATTCAGACTGGATGGCGGCGTGCGCTCGTCTACTGTGCCTCAAGATTAGCACAGTTCTGCCCGCGGAGGCACGTCCCGATCCGGGAAGCCGCCATCTCGCGCATGAACAAATCAGCGAACTCCGATGGCCAATATACCGAAAGCAGCTGGGAAAACAACACTGTGGGGAGACAGTGAAACAAATCCGCCACCGTGCCGTGGCCTCCGGGGGCCTCTTAAGGGCCTCTTGGGGGCCTTTTGGGGCCTCATTTGGGGCCTCCTGGGGGCGTTTGAGGTGGAAGACTCGGATCTTCTGTTCGGGTTCCCCTCTTGGGTCCTTCTTGGGGCTGTCTTCGGGGCCGCATCGGGCGCCTCTCCTGCCGTTTGGGCGCCCTCTCGGACCGTCTTGGGGCCTTTCTGGGGGCCTCTCGGGGCCGCGTTCGGGGCCTCTTGGGCCGACTCGGAGCGTCGGAAGCTCGAAGGGTGGAAAGCCCCAATAACACGTCATTGGCTTGGCGGAGGACGCAACCACGAGCAATTGTGGGTGACGCAGCTGTGAGTACTGTCTTCGGTGGGCTACGAAACGCGTGAGGAATGTACAGGAATGGGCGCGGTGAGCGCATGCGAACGCAGCCACTTGGGTCTTCGGTGGAGTTCCTCATGGGGCCACGAAGCGTGTGAGAAGTATGCCGAAATCGGCGCGGCGGACGCATGCGACCACCGCCACAGGGGCCTTCGGTGGAGTTCCCTGCGGGGCCGAGAAACGCCTGAGGGATGTGCCGAAATGGGCGGGGCAGACGCATGCGAACGCCGCCATTGGAGCCTTCGGTGGCGCTCACTATGGTGCCACGAAGCGTGTGAGTGGTCGGACGCATGCGAACACCGCAGCTGGAGCCTTCGGTTAAGCTCCCTATGGGGCCACGAGACACGTGAAGGGTGTGCCGACATGGGTGCGGCGGGCGCATGCGAACGCAGCCACTGGGGCCTTCAGTGGAGCTCCCTATGGGGCCACGAAACGTACAAGGGTGCGCCGACATGGGGGGTGAACTGCAAGCGGACCCTGCCACTGGGTCCTTTTGTGGAGTTCCCTGCGGGGCCACAAAACGTGTGAGGAGCGCGCCGAAACGAGAGGGGGTGGAACTGCATGCGGTCCCTGTCGCCGGAGCCTTCGGTGAAACTCCTTACGGGACCACGGCAATTGTGAGGGGTGTGCCGAGATGGGAAATGGAATCGCATACTGACCGTGCCGCTGGGGCCTTCGATGGAACCCCCCATGGGGCCACGAACCGTGTGAGGGGTGCGCCGGATTGGGGGGTGAAACCGCACGCGGACCCTGCCACTGGGGCCTTTGGTGGAGCTCCATGCGGGGCCACGAAACGTGTGAGGCGTGCGCCGAGATGATGATGCTGATGATTAGCCTGACGCAAGACCCAATCATATGCAGCTGCGAGTACCGCATTGTGGGTACTGCTTTCTGTGGAGCTCCTTATGGGGCCACGAACTGTGTGAGGGGCGTGCCGAATTGGGCGCGGTGGTGCCATGCGAACCCTCGGAGCCTTCGGTGGAGCATCTTCTGGGGCCACGAGACGTGTGAGGGGGTGTATCGAATTGTGTGCGGTGATGCCATGCGAACCCTCCCACTGGAACCTTCGGCGGAACTCCCCATGGGGCCACGAACAGTGTGAGGGGTGTGCCGGATTCGTCGCGGTGGTTTCATGCGAACCCTCCCGCTGGAGCCTTCGGTGGAGCTCCCCACGGGGCCACGAACTGTGAGAAGGGTGCGCCGAAATGAAGGTGGAACTGCATGCGAACCCTGCGAATGGGGCCTTTGGTGGAATTCCCTATGGGGCCACGAACCGTGTGAGAACGGCACCGTAATGGGGGCGGAACTGCATGCGAACCCTGCTGCTGGGGCCTTCGGTGAAGCTCCCTATGGGGCCACGAACCGAGTGAGGGGTGCGCCGAAATAATGGTGGAACTGCATGCGAGCCCTGCCACTGAAGCAATCGGTGGAGCCCCCTATGGGGCCACGAACCGTGTGACGGGTGCGCCGAAATGAGGGTGGAACTGCATGCGAACCCTGCCACTGAGGCATTCGGTGGAGCTTCCCATGGGGCCACGAACCGTGCGAGGGGTGCGCCGAGATGGGGTGGAACTGTATGCTAACCCTGTCAATATGGTCTTCGGTGGAGCTCCCTAAGGGGCCACGAGCCGTGTGAGAAGGGCACCGAAATGGGGGCGAAACTGCATGCGAACCCAGTCAATATGGCCTTCGGTGGAGCTCCCTAAGGGGCCACGAGCCGTGTGAGGGGTGCGCCGAAATGAAGGTGGAACTGCATGCGAACCCTGCCACTGGGGCCTTCGGTGGAACCCCCTATGGGGCCACGAACCGTGTGATGGGTGCGCCGAAAAGAGGGTGGAAATGCATGCGAGCTCTGTCGCTGAAGCATTCGGTGGAGCCCCCGATGGGGCCACGAACCGTGTGAGGGGTGCGCCGAAACGAAGGTGGAACTGCATGCGAACCCTGCCACTGGGGCCTTCGGTTGAGCTCCCTACAAGGCCACGAACAGTGTGAGGGGTATGCTGAAACGAATGATGACGATGATGATGCAGCGGGAGGGGGGCAGCGGGAGGAGTGAACGCGGGGCGCTGTCTCTTCAGAACAATGACCCAACACCACAGGATGGTTGCGAACGAAAATGATCATGATCATGATCATGCTCATGATAATAATGATGACGATGATGATGCTGCTGCTGCTGATGATGATGATGTTGTTGACTATGCTGAGGATGCCGATGATGATGTTGATGATGATGCTGCTTACGATGATGATGGCGATAATGAGGATGCTGATGGTGCTGATGCTGATTATGATGATCATGGTGATGGCGATGATGGTGACGATGACGCTGCTGCTGCTGATGATGATGGTGATGATGCTGATGATGGTGCTAATGATGATTCTGATTATGATGATGCTGGCGATGTATGATGATGCGGATGACGCTGGTGATCATGAATCCGCCGATCCAGCGTGTGAACTACAAGGAGCCTCGGCAAGAGCTTCAGCTCTGAGCCTGAGCAAGAGCTTCAGCTCTGCTTGGGGGGGGGGTCGCCGGGGTGGCTCTGCTGGGGAAGGGGGGGAGGGGGGGGGGGGCGGTCCTCCATCTGGCATTTTCTTAATGGTCTGCGCATCCCCAAAATGTTGCGGGGGGTATCAGGGACCCCCCCCCGGGACTCTCACCTCGGAACCCTCCCCGGACCCCCCCGGGGGAAGGGGGGGAGGGGGGGGGGGCGGTCCCCCATCTGGCGTTTTCTTAATTCCCCACCTAGGCTCTGCCTAGAAAGGTTCTTACTCTCTTGGCTTAAAGGGCCGGGCATTGGGAACCGGCCCGGGCGGTTCCCCCAGTATCCGCCCCGCGGTTCCCCCAGTTGCGTCCCCTGGGTTCACCCAGCTAAGCTAAGCTAAGCTAAGCTAAGCTTAGCTTATCTCATCTTAGCTTAGCTTAGCTTAGCTTTACCCAGCCTAGCTTAGCTTAGTTTAAACCATCTCATCTTAGCTTAGCTTAGTTTAGCTTGGCTTAGCTTGGCTTAGCTGAGCTTAGCCTAGCTTAGCATAGCTTAACTTACCTTAGCTGAGCTTAGCTTAGCGCAGCATAGCGCAGCGCAGCATTAGCACAGCATAGCATAGCATAGCCAAGCATAACATAACATAGCTGAGCATAGCATAGCATAGCATAGCGCAGCATAGCATAGCATAGCATAGCATTGCTTAACATAGCACAGCGCAGCATAGCATAGCATAGCACAGCACAGCACAGCATAGCATAGCGCAGCATAGCATAGCATATCATAGCATAGCATCGCGCAGTATAGCATAGCATAGCATAGCATCGCCTAGCATATCACAGCGCAGCCGAGCGTACCCTAGCGAAACATAGCATAGCATAGCGCAGCATAGCAAAGCATAGCATAGCAAATCATAGCATAGCATAGCGCAGCAAAAGCGAAACCAATGCGAAAGTGTAGATGTAGATGTAGATGTAGGTGTAGGTGTAGATGTGGATGTAGGTGTAGATGTGGATGTATATGTAGATGTAGGTGTAGATGTAGGTGTACATGTAGATGTAGATGTGAGTCTCGCTGTTGATGTTGATGTAGATGTAGATGCAGGTGTAGATGTAAATGTAGCTGTCGGTGTAGATGTAGATGTTGCTTTCTTAAATGCTCCAACTCCTAGGTAGGGTCGCAC